TCCTCTGCACATTGTATAACAAGTCAGTGTTACCATAGCAAGTTTAAGTGCAATCATGTTCAGAAAATGCAGACTTGTACTGAAAGTGGAGGTCTCTTATCTTGTCGTCCAGGACAAGATTCAGGTGAAAAAAGAAATCTTTTTTTTTTCATTCAAAATAAGGAAAAATATATAAATAAATATATATATATATATATAATACACAGTTCACAGTGGAAAGAAGAATGTGTGTATATATTTTAATAAAAGGGAATATACTTCTCCTTGGGCTGAACAGAAATATTTTGCTGGATAAGCACATTTGAAAGAACACTTTCATTGTTTTCAGGAAATGCAGTTACAATATACAAAAATGCAAACTGAAGAAACAAACTGGGTATATGTAAAGAATAACTTTCTACATTCTACAAATAAAAGTCTATTCTAGTGTGTAAATTAGTGACAGTAAACTGTTTGTCCCGATATTCAGGTTGTAAATGTATTTTAACATTCACGAAGAAAAAACCATCGCCATAAGTCAGGCTTACTCTCACACGTTTGTACTCATGTGAATTAAGACGGACATATCACATACTGGACATTAATGATCAGCTGAATGTGTCGCTCCACTGATATCGTATCTTTGCTATAACTCTGATATCTTGGGATGATTTGAAACTGTTTAATCTGTTTATTTTTTGGTGTGTGTTGTAGTTCTTCAAATGTCTACAGTCATTCTTTGCGAGAAAGTACCCCGGCAATGCACTGCATGGATCTGATGCATCATGTGTCCTATTCACTGTGAGCTAATGGGGGGAGACAAAAAAAAAAAAAGTTGGCCTATGAATTTTGACTTCTCCTTTGGTTTTGATTAGGTTGGAATTTTCAGATGTTGATGTGTTCTTGTTGTTCCATGTTAGCCTGGTAGTTACTAAAGCTCAGCATGCATTTCATCAACAAAGCCATTGTGTAAATTATAAACATGAAGAACATTGCACTTCCTTAGCTGAGGGCGTTCATCGTGTAAATATGGGATTTTGATGTGCAAACAGATGAGCTGCTTCGCTTAGAGGGTTTATCTTTATCACGCTGTTAAGGGACCAAGACTGGGGCTTAAAGGAGATGTACATAATGTGTATACGATCAGTACTCTATTCTCAAGTTAAGATCAGGATGTATATATACATCACCTCATGGATGGATGTGAGGGGTGATATATGAACATATCGACTGTCTCTGCCTCCAGCAGTGGTGAACTGACATTTGCTGTAGAAATCAAAAACAGACTGTTAGGAAGTTTCCTGCCATATACATCCAGCTCTCTTTTCATACGTACAACCCAGCGTACACACAGACAGATGACACACATCCTGCTGCAAGCTGTTCAGTCTGGCGTGAGACACATTATAAAAAAAAGGAGGAGAGAGGAATGGCCTCATTTATATGTGCATTCTGTTTGTACAGTGAGTAGTGAGTCAGTAAGACCCCAGTTATTGTAAAACTTCAACTGTGACAATGTTGAACGCAAAATAAACAAATATATGACTTATGGTATACGTGTGTCGTTTGTTGTGACTCCATGGTTAATAAAAATCAATCTGTCTTCCCCCTTTTTTCGGGCCGGGCATTTCACATTAGGGTCTTATCATTAGCCTCTCATATCTCCCAATTCCAGACTTTCCACTAGTGTTTCGGTGTTTCCACTAGAGGACATGAATAAAAATGACATGAGATCTGAAAATCTGTGCCATGACACCACCTATGGGTGAAAAGTATACACAGTTCTCACAAAGACCGGCCTGTGAAAATGGTTGTGCCTACACTTACCTTTCAGCTTTAATCCAGTTTTGTAAATCTGTAAATGTGATTCTCTCACTCTCACTGTCCATTCTGCTTTGTAGCTCAACATTTCCATTAAGAAGCGTTTTCTCCTTGCCCTCGAGCTCAAACAGTGTTAGGTTTCCAAAAAATTTCTTATGTGCATTCTAATCCTCACAAAGCTTTTCATGCTCAGAGCTGTAATTTGCCGCAAAATGCCCCTCGTGCCCTCAGCATCGCCGTGGACGCTAGTAATAAACACTCTGTGGGAGAGTTTCAGATGGCCTCGCCACTATTTTAGTAGATAAACTCTTATCTCTTTTAAGCAGATGGATTTCCTTCATGTCGTAGGCGCTATAACCGTTTGTCATTGGTGGAATCCTCAAACTGATGCCGTTCTGTATTACGCGTGTGATTATTGTGAGCTTAGCAGCACATCCGTTACAAAACGGGGATACCTCGACATGGGGAGCATTTCTGAAATATTCTCGGGCTCAGATTTTGCACTGGACTAGGACGGTGGCAGTATGATGACATTTAAAGATGACTGGCACTCTGGAAGGTTTGTAAATTGTGTATATATCTATATTTAATGGGAGGTTATTCCTTCTTAATATTTTTTTCTAAAACTTCAGGCTATCCATGAACAATTGAATTCACCTTACACATTATTTCACTCATACACATTAAAATTTCAGTCTCTATAGCATCTTCTAAACCATTTCACATGAGCCATTTTGACATTAAGCAGTTTTATTGTACTTTAATCTTTTTCTGATCCTATAGGATGATCTTCAGTTTGAGCTTAGTGTTCTTCCACGTCCTGGTAACACACAGTATCATTAAGCCTTGCCACTGTTCAACCCTCAGGCCTGCTGGACTGGTAGTTAACTGCAGCGCTTTAAACCTCGTGGAGGTGCCCAATCTGCCCACTGACACCACAGAGCTCCATTTGCAGAACAACCGGCTCACCTCGGTGTCTCCAGGCCTGTTTGACAGATATACTGGGCTGAACAAGGTTTCCCTGTCCAAGAACCCTTTCCACTGTGATTGTCAAATTCACTACCTGAGGAACTGGTTGCTGAAGAACAGGGCTATTGTTTTGAAGGAGCCCGTTTGCTTCAGTCCAAGCTCTGTGGCTAACAAAGCCATCACTGAACTTAGTGACGACTACTTTTCTCACTGCGCTGCTGCAAACTGCACTAATGGGATATACAACATCATAATAGGAGTAGCGCTATGCTGCCTCATTGTTCTGCTTCTGTGGAGCTTGAGTCTTGCCAGAAATTCCAATTTCACTCTGGATATAGATGAGAGACACTCAGGATTCGAGGCCGACTCCTTACGTTCACTGAAGCCCAAACACAGGAAGAGACTGCACACTGGACTATCAGAGGTCAGTGTCGACTCAGAGTCTCTCGGTCATACGGAGGATGTAGATAGGCCGCTTCTCAACATGGATTTACTGCCACAAGTTTTGGATGCGTTGCACAAGAAGCACAATATAAAGATAAAGGCTACCTGAGTGATCTTAGTCCACTAGAGTTACTCTTAAAGATTAAAGGGTACCCTAAAATATCCTGGCTTTTTGAAATAAAATGCATGTAATAGTAGCCATTGGCTTGCTTGCCTTAATCATTTTTCTTTAATAAATAAAAATCCCCTGCTGGTAATTGTCTTGTCCTTGACTTTTCACTCTTTTATTCATGTTTTCACACCTTAAACTATAACAGACCCTTAATTGTCATTTAAATCCTGAAGGATTAAACTCTGAACATTTTGGTTATTTTGTAGATGATGCATCAAAAGCTAGTTTTTTTAAGTCATCTGGTCAATATTGAACTTTCTTTGCAGTCATGTTTTAGTGGAATATACTATACCTTTCAGTATTTCAGCTTCTTTAGTCATTATCACCCAGTTGTGCAATTTACAAATCATTTGACCCCTTTGCTCCTTTGACCACCGCATGTAGGTCCAAGTCCAAACCAATGCATTTCAGCTTTTAGCTTCTCCAACAAAACAAGGGCACAATCTTTCATGATTCAGCAAACAAGAATTCCTTGAGGAGACACATTTTGTTTCTTTGTTTTCTTATAATGCTGTTTGCTTTTAATCAGAGAAATCTTTAAACATTTGACATTTTTAAATGCACCAGAACATTTTCTGACTTGTTGTGCGAAAGTTGTTCATCACAGTTACCCTAACCTTACTCTGACCCTAACACATTTATCGGTCTGCTCAAAAAATTAAGCGAACGCTAGAAAAACACATATCGGCTCTTTAAATATTCAAGTTGAAACATACACATATACTAACAGACACTGCGTAACATCTTGAGAGCAAAATTAAATGACTCATTGAAAACCGAAATCATCAACCCCCTCATGTGCTAGATTCAAAATGACACCAAAAAGCAAAGTTAAAAACTGTTCTCCTAGTTTTCTGAGCAGTATTTACATACAGTATACACGTATAAATTTGTCTTACGAGTGGTCTGTCAGTTATACTAAGAATGACTTTCTAAATTATAACAACCATGTTATGGAAGGGTGATATGGTAACACAAAGATTTCAGGCTGATCTGTGCAAAAACTGGTCAAGGCTGTCGAAACGGAAACTGTAAAGACAGTGCTATTAGAGGAAAAGAAATTGCACATCAAACAGTGGTTTTAAAGATACAAGAATTACTCTTATATTCATGCATAGATTTACCATGACAAATGGGTAAACAAATAGCTAAAAATGCAATAACAAAAGGTCACCGTAATAATAACGATTAAATGTTAATATGCTTCTTAAAAACACTGTCATTAGCTTGTAAATAAATATAGGATGGCTTCAGGGTTTGTAACAATCTAGAACAGTAGTTTTATCTAACAAAGATACTTAATAAGGTCAAATAAGGCAGTTCTTACACATTTCCTTATTGGAAAAAGAAAAAAAGAAAAAAGAAACAGGTAATGACTATCAGAAAAACAACAACAGTTATTTAATTTTTTTTTTCCTCTGAAATCTCATTTATTGTTAAAATTTTAGATGACCTATATTATGTCAATGCCCTGTCAGGTTTTTAAACAAAGTCCACAGTGTTAGGCTTCTAGAGGTCTGAACATGAAGTGGTACTACCAGTTTAATGCTCGCTTTCCCTCCCTTTCCCCCTGCTTGGATCTCCATGACCACACGAAGCCTGTTGGCTCAAAATACTACTGAGGCACAAACTTTTCTTGCTCAAAGATGAGATCAACAGCTTCTGCCACATCCTGCACGATATGGCCTGGCTCCACGAGACCAGGGTCAAATATGAAGTCCCGGTGCCCGTGGAACACAGTCTCCTTGATGCAGTGATTTGCATCAGACGGCACCTCTGCGTTGGGGTTATACACCCCTGTACAGACTAGGACAGACTTACAGGAAGTAGCAGAGGGCAGAGCGAGCTCGCTTTCCCACAAGCTGTCAATCTCTTCCTCCCTGGGCACCGCCGTGGTGGACCCAGTGGCAGACACCATCTTAGCAACAGCTTTGGGGTTTTTTCTCGCAACTCTCTCCTCCAGGTAGCGGTTGTACAGATTGGCTCCATAGATGTCAGTCATGAGGTTATCCCTAAAAATGCAGAAAAAAAGGGTATTACTCTGTGCCCCAGGCAGCATGCATGAAGTTGACCTATATATCAGTACATGTTGAAATGTGTGTGTGGTTTTTTTCCTGGTGCTGAATGCAAGTCACATGAATTAGAACAAACAATCAGCTAAAAAAAAAAAAGCTGAAGTGAAACATGCAAGTCCCCAAATTAAAGCATGACATGCTAACTAACACACGTAAGCATATAAACAAGAATAGTTCTTTTTTTCGCACGACAGAATGACATGCTAACTAACACACGTAAGCATTTAAAAGCGAACAGTTTTTTCATCAAATTATTGAGCAACATTTCAGTAAAATCTTTTTCTTTTGATAGCCTATCTGTCTATCAGACAGCATGATAAGTGAGTTCTGGTCTTATGTTAAGTATAAAGGCAAAACAGAGTTAAAAGCTGGTGTCTCACCCTATAGCATATAGGGAAGTAACAGGAAGTTCCCACTGCCTCTGCATGGCCTGGCTTCTGATGAGATACTCTGCAAAATGGTAAGTCAGCTCACTGGGTTTTCCCATAAGAGCCTCATACTTCAGATCTTTGCCGGTTATCTTCTTGTAGATGTTCTCTAGACACACAAGAAATGTCCCGTGGCCAAACCTGGAACAAAATGAGACGGTGGAAGACAGATATGTCAGTACACTGATTTGATTACTTGAAAGACTGTTTTAGTTTCTTAAGTACAATTTCTTTTAAAACATTTTATATAAAAAGACAGATTTTTGTAACGTTTACCGAGGGGAATGTGCCTCAGCCATCCACATGAGGTCCATGTTGCAGGCCAGCAGGTGAAGGTGAGGAGTGTTTTGGGTTTGGTGACTACTACTGAGGTTACCATTGGTCAACAGAACGTCAACTATCAGCTGCAGGTTGGTTTCCCATCGGATCGGCTCGCCGAACAGAACCACAGCTGTGTGTGCAATTCAAAGATTAGAACAGCGTTCATCAAAATTGCAAGAATTTCAAAACTATCAAAGCAGATGTTAGTAAGTGTACCATGTCAATGACAAAAGATAAACGTTTAATTTGAGAAGAGCCAACTGTTTTTACCTTCAATTTTAGGAAGGTTGACAACAGGATTGGACTAAATTGAAAGAAGGGAAATTAAAGTCATGACATTATATTATACATATCTCCAACATCATGTTTGTGCACCAGATTGTAAAATCTCACCGGCAATTTTGGTCTCCTGTTGTGATCCACCATGTCCAGCAATGGGTACGATTCTCTAAGCATATCAATACTGATTACATTCTTAAAGCCCACACTAAAGACAGAACGTTAAGGAGAAATGAAGAAGTAATACTCAAGTTTAAATGTAAATATATAAATTATATTGTAAATTTAAACAAAGCAGATTTCTAGGATACTTTTTAGCAATTTCCAGGACAGGTCCTTGTCCTGACACCAAGACACACTTGTCATGGAACTTCTTAAACATCCTCAGGGGACTATGGGACATGATAACTTGGTCTTGCGTGATCTGAAAATAGCACAGTTGTAGTGAGGTTAATAGCAAAGGAGTCAGGTGAGACCAAATTATCCAAAAATAATCAGAGATAAAACGTAACAACTTCAGTTTCAGTACTGTGCACAAGTCTCAAGCCACCACCCATTTCTTTACATTTTGCTTCCAAACAGCCAGATTTTCTTGTAAATTTTTAAAGTGGTCTTGAGCAATAATGCTCCAGGCTTTCCAAAAGTCTTTCAAAGTTTTTCTTTGAACACTGACTTCATTTTTACTCATTTTCAGTCCAGTCCTTTTACCTGAACATTTCCAAAAATAATAATTGTTGTTGTCATTCATTCAAGAATTAAAAAAAGGACCGAACTCAAGAGATGAACTAGTGTTTTATATCTACAGGTTAGCAAATGGACAATTTTCAGGCTTCAGCCGATGTTGAAAAAAAACAAACAAAAAGTGGCGATAGCAAATATTGACTTAAAAGCTTGTTAGAATTATACAAACTCTGTACAAACACACATGTTTGTACAGAGTTTGTACATTGTGCATCTTTCAATAAAACTTTGCATCCATTTCTTATTTTCCTAGCAAATTATTATTTCTTTTTTAAATAAGGGGAAACTGAAAAAGTTTTGAATGCACTGCATGCACACACCAAATGCACTGCATGCACACACCAAAGAGCAGCACCATTAACACCATTAAAACTTGCACAGGAATTTAAAACTCACAGGCACTCCCAGTATGTGAGAGAGCTGGTCCGCTTTTGTTTGTCTGAGGCAATTCCCTGCATTTGTGACAAAAACGACTGGCACCACAAACCGTCCCTGAGAGTCGACCAACTTCTCAAATGCTTTTGTTGCCGCAGGGATTGGCATCCTCCCTCTGACAAGCACGCCATCAATGTCGAACAACAGCCCAAACCTTGGCTGTGGCTGCAGAAGGGAAGGACAGACACACACTGATCAGCCAAAAAAATAAGAACTTTTTTAAGCGGGGAAACAACATGAGTGATTAATAGCAGGCAAATTATGTAGAATAAGGGTTCACTGAATAACCAATGGGTTTGAATGATGCCTTAAAAAGGATAATCTATTACTCTGCACAGTATGACATTTCCAATCACACTGATCATTTATCATTTTACATAACTTAAATTCTTTGTAGGCAATCATCATTATCATCGTATAAGAATGATAACAACTGGTTTCGATTTGACGTCAACATGGGAGACAGGAATCTATAGTGAGAACTGCTATGGTGACACAGCAGTACACAGGCCTGTTAGCATAGTACAATCAATCTTACAATATCCCAAACCTCAAAATTCTTTCCCCCCCTGGAGCTGGGACTAATTAAAACAAAGAAAGAACACAGTGTATCAGTGGTTGTTTTTCTCATGGTGGGAGGGGGGGCAAAAATACAGCGAGCTACATCTGCTGCTGCCCCTGATGTCAGCGCCCCTGTTTCATCCCTGAGCGCATCCACAGCTGAGAAAGTTGCGAGCAACCCCGCACGCCACGTCGATACGATACATTGTAACAAAAAAACAATGCGAGAGAACAACAAACAAAGTACCGCCTTGTTATCAGTGTCAACAACATGTTATTTGCCTGAGCCCGAAGCAATAGCAACAGCAACAGCTCGAACCGTACCTTGCTATTAGACTGAGTTCCGCAAAGCCCGCACCGAGAACCGACAATCCCAGCTTTACGACTGGCTTGGCGGTTACTCAGGGTGTACAAACCCCGGTAAAACGGCAGGAGTCCCCTCATCTCCTTTACTTACCCACCGGGTTAATGAAGAAAAAACAAAATAGACAATAATGTATAAATCTGAACCCCTTATGAAGCGTGAGCCGGCTCGCACCGGCCGCGCTGGCTGGCTGGCTGGTTGGGCTTGTTTTCTCTCATATATTTTCTCGTCTATAATTTGACTGGTTGAGACCCGATGACGACATATGAGGAGTAGGAGGGTCTTTTGCTGCATCTCTGCCGGAAGGAGCTGCATCTGCACCGCAACCCCCGCTGCCATTTTAGACACCGAGGTGGAGCTTTCCATTTCTTGTACGCACAAGACACGCATGGATCACAGGGGCCGCAGAGCAAAGACAAAATAGAACTCATTGATCACCGCTCATTGTCATTCCGGATCAAGTATATGTACAGCAGAGAGCTCAAAATGGATGCGGATGAATCTTATTTAGCAATGACAAACACACAAATAGCACGGTTTAGTTGCTGATGTCACATGCAGGAGTACGTAGAGTCCAAAAATTGCCAGGAATGTGCTGCAGGAAGCCTGATAGGCAAAAGCGACCCATCCAGTGAGGGAGTGTTTAACCATTTCTTAGTGGAATAAATATGTCTGCTCATGTTAAACACGGAATCTTCTGGATATAATACTGCAGATGTTTTGCAACTGCAGACTAACAAAATGTCCAGATTAATTTAAAATACAAAATCCAGCTTTGCATGTTGTTTAATCCCACAATAATCTGTAGGTTATCTAGCAGATAATCCCTTATTTGAACTTCTAGGACACAAGCAGCAGCTCAAAAGTTTATCTTCTTGCACAAGATGTTCAGACGAGTTGAGAACAGAAGCATCTGTAAAGATAAAACGTGGCAAAACGAGCTGTGGTACATGCTGAGTGTATTGCAAAAGAAATCAGACAAGAAGATCCTCCCCGTGCTCCTCCAGCTTTATTGATAGTTTAAAATTACATTTCTATTTTCTAGGACTTCAGTTGCACTTTCCTTCCGACTTAAAAACTGAGTACAAGCAAATGGTATTTATACAGTAGTCTAAGTGATATTGTACAAAAATAACATTTTTGATTTTCTGTGAAAACATTTTTCATTCCCAAATAACTCCTAATTCTGCCGTTCTGACAACTGTTGATGTTAAGTTTTGCCAAGGTAAAAAAAAAAAATTCCAAAGCCATTTTAAAAGGAAAAGTCTGCCTTGGACTACCGTGTTACTTAAATTGTAAACAGATTTCTATAAAAGAGCATGTTTCTTTTAACAACTCCAAAATTTTTATATCTTAGTAATATAACATGTAGTTTGTTATCGCCCACTTAGCTGCTGTAGGGCTGAAATGCATCATGTTATGAACTGTTTCCATGTCATACTCTCTTGGCCAACTCATATCCCACTAAAACAAACCAAAATGACCATACATGGAAGTTTGGTTTCCATTTACTCCCTTCTTCTATCTCATTTTACTGAGATACACTTCCACAAGCTCAGAGGTCCTATAGATTCCCATATGTTTAGTCCCGTTTATTCATCATCTCTGGTCACCAGTGGCTTGGAAAGGGGGGTTCTTTAACAAAGCATTATACATAACACCGCTACCAAACTAAAACATTTTTTGTATTGAATGCAGAAAGATATTTTTTTCACCCCTTTCTTTGTATTACATGTCGAGAGGCTCACTGGCCTGGGACTAGCCTCTGTTAGCCAACCTTTGGCCAGTGAAGAGGATTCAGAGAAAATAATACAACCAACCATCAATCTGAAAAAAGGAGGGGCAACAGAGGGCACTGATTATGCGGTGGCTTCAATGGTGCACTCTTTTGCCAGGTGGCCTGCCTTTCCGCAGTTGTAGCAGTTAGTCTCGCTTGCTTTACTGCAATGTACAGCAACGTGACCAATCTCACCACACCTGAAAAAGAAAGCATGTGGTGAGTGTAATAAAAGCAGACTGTAAAATTAACACAGAACCCACGCATACCTAAAGATTAGAATTGGAGGGCTTCAAAATAGTAGAAAGTTTGTCAAACTGTAGCACCAGGCTTGCTTCTCCAAACAGAACCATATTTACCTGTAACATTTCACCTTATCGCACAGCTTCTGGATGTGGCCAAACCCACCGCAGGAGTAGCACTTCTGCTCATTGGCGTGATCGCAGTCACGGGCCATGTGACCAGCTTTCCCGCAAGTGTAGCAGAGCTGCTCTCTCTCCTTTTTGGGCTCCTTGCAGTCCCGGGAAATGTGACCACTCCTGTGGCAGTTGTAGCACGCTAATCAGGGGGAAAAAATGATTAAAAAAACATTTCTGGGAAAGACTGGTACCAAGTAAAACTGAAGAACAACAATTGGAATTCACACCATCCTCAGTTTGGTCACAGTCCCTGGCCATGTGTCCTTGGTCTCCACACCGATAACAGAACAGCTCTGTAATGACACAGATAGATAAGCAAAGCAGAAAACTACAACAATTGACCTTTTCCTTTCATTTTCACCCATGCCTTCTATAACTAAATCCAGTTTATATTGGGTGTGGCAAGAATAGTATAGTACCCTTGCCTCGTCCTCGTCCCCTGCCACGGCCACGCGAACCACTGGCATTAGGGCAGTGCTTGACCCAATGTCCAGAGCGGCCACATCCAAAGCACTCACTGTTGCTGCTCATCTCCATTACCTTCAAGAAAAAACAAAACAGAAATTAGTTAACACATCGTTTCATGTACTCAATGATCCTTATGAACACTGACTTTCAGCTGTTTTTCAGTTGTTCGCTTTAGCTTTTGTGTCAATTTCAACAAAGACCCCCCCCCCCTTGGAGAATGTGGCTATCATCTTTGGCACTCTCCAAACTTCCAGTTTTGATGTGACCATCAAGTCCAACTTAAGTCCAACCTGTGAGAGGTACATGTATGGACATTGTAGATGAAAGAGATGCCCTTTACTGGTGCTAAATTTGGATACCAGTTTGTGTTACATTCTATAGATGACAGTTTAAGTTTAGAATGAAGTTTAAATGTGAAATCTGCACATCAATCTAAATCCATCTCTATGTGCAGACCACTATTTCACATTTAGATTATCAAAAAAATCTTGCAATTTAATTGATGAAACAATTTAAGGCTAAACAAAAAATTCTGCCACAAATACCTAACATCAAAAAGTATATGAATATAACAAAAATAATAATGATTTTCAAGGGTGGTCAAAGTAGGTTAACTCTTATTGTCTCATGTTTGAAATTGCTTATACCAGAGTCAAACAACTTTACCACACAACTGAAACACAGTTACTACAGGAGTCATTCTAGTATAATGGGGGGGGGGTGTCTAATCTAAAATCAAACAATAGTTGTTGTTTTTTTTCTTCTTCCAAGCTCTAGTCTATCATAACTGACCACCAGACTACACTGAACTACTAAGCTAACTTACAAGGCTTCCTCAGCGAGATCATGCTGTAATTGCCCTAGGTCAAACTTCTGTTTGCTGATAGTGCTGAAGATATTCAAATCAGGAAGAATGTGAGTTAATGAGTAATCAATTCTCCCGTATTACCCACCCAAAAGAAGACCTGGGGATACAAAATGACTCAGATAGATTTTATTGACTTTGCATACAGTGAAACGTGTTTCATTTTTGCTTTACTGTCCATCCAAGTGTCCGTCCCACTTCAACTTTCGTCACTAAACGCCTTCTAAAATTTCGTATAACGTTTATCTACGGGCCACATGGGGACACCCAAAGCGCCTCGATTTGATGGAGAAAGCCGTGATGAAGTAATCCTCGTTAAAACAATCAATTTAATGCCACCCACTGCTGACTGCTACGTAAATAACCACGAAAGCATGCTTACTTAGAAAGCTAGCTTCAGAGGCCAGCATGTCGCATCGTTGATTTGTTGATTTAACGCCTTCAATGATACCAGCAAACTCGAGGTACAAACAATAGCACGATATCCCGAGTCGTTTTAAAAAAATAAATGTATGTCTGTTAAATGTACATATCTGACTACATGTTTCAGAAATATTTTGCGCTTCCAAAACAGAAATCAAATACCAAAGGTTGAAGCTACGCTAACAGGGGCCTAGTCACGTTGATTTTTCTGCGTACTCGCGAGACACCAATGCTGCTGGCTAGCACATGCTAGCACACCACCTCACGACCACGATCAAGAAGCACGGTTCAGTCGACGATCAGTCCTCTTTCCCCATATAGAAAAGTGTCTCACCCACTGTTACAGCTATACATTTTCACAATACATTGTTTTCGCGGGCATTTGAGTAAATTTACCATAAGTATAAAATTTCCCGCGCAGGGAGCAAACACCAAAGTCGTTGTGACGAGCTAGCATTAGCGGGCCTGACCAAGATCCCGACGCTCCGTTGATGAGTCTAAACTAAACCAGTGCGTATTTAAAAAATGAAAAAATCGTTTAAACGCTCAAGTAACGGTTAACATCAATGTTAACATGTCTTCGTTTCAAAGTTAAAAGATATACAACGTAAATTGATGAAAGTATTTTAATGTCGTTTTATCGCTTACCTTGATGGCTACCTAGCTATGTCAGTGTTTACGCCTCCTTCTTTGCGCTACATGCGGTGCGAGCAGGAGTTCCTGAATTGTCATTCAACGTATCCATTAAAAGCTCGCACAGTCATTGGTCGACTACTCTGCGAGCGGCCAATCAGACATGAGAGGCTCTGGACACCGCCTCTGCGAATCAGCCAATCGTGGCTTTAGAACGGTCCCTTTTCCCTTAATCGACTGACCTTATTTTTCCCCCCTCTTCATGTTCAACATTTAAAAGCTTCTTATCAAAACAAACGCTAGAGAATGTTATAGTCTTCGCTTTACCTGCACTACACTCCTCACACTGCTACTGCGACTGCAATACAACACAGCGCTTTTATTAACTATTAATAATACGCTCTTCAAAAATTAACCACATGTGAGAGTCACAGCATGGATACAGTAGGCTTGCCTATACAAAATGCTCACAGTTCTTCATATTTAATCTGGAAA